CCCCAAAACCCCAAAACCCCAAAACCCCAAAACCCCGTTTGCTTAATAACAATGATTCATTTTGAATTTTATTTATCTGGGAAACTATACTTGATGCTTTTCATCTTTTTGAGGATAGCAGTATCAAATTCACCCTTCGCAATCTGTTCCCATCGATGCTCATTGTCAGTAGCTTCCCTTACAATTTCTCTCATTTGCTAAATCTTACTAAAGCAAAATACCTGAATTGAAATTAGTGTTTTTTCGAACGGTTTTTCTGGAATCTTATACATTTTCTTTATGATTTTCTTTTGCTTAAAAGAGTTCAAATCGTCATTTTCAACTGTTTCATTATATTCCTATTTTAGGTTTAATTTTTATTTGGATATATTTAATCACCATCTCTAAGAAATTAAAAGATTACACTTATTGATTGTTATATTTACTCAAAACTTACTTTTAGTGTTCCGTCCTGTTTGTACTTTTGCCATATATCATATTCTTTTAAATACTCAATTCTGAGGTATCTGAGATATTCTCTAAAGTAGGCTTTTCTTACTTCATATGGAACTATATTTTTGTAATTTCCTATAATTATCAATTATGAATTTATCAAAAATTTGGAAGTCTTTCGTCAACAATTTTAGTTCCATAATATAAATTATTTCATAAAATTTGAAATAATTGGTATACAAGGTACAAATGGTGATTATTATGATTACCAAATTGGTCTGTGATACCAAGAGCGCCTTTCCTAAAATATTTTGCTTCTATTGTGCTCCATCTATTGTTTAGAATTGCATATCGCAATATCCTTCTGGAAATAAATTGCTTGACCCTATTTTTCAACTTTGACCATTGTGTTGTAGAATTTCATTCTTTTCAAATCTATTTTGCCCTCGTTGTTCTTTGTATATCTGAGAAATTCATAAATAATTCTTGCATTATTTCTGCTCTTTCTTCATTATCCATCTTCTAACAAACCTTTTGGCATAGAATTTGATTTTATTTGCTGCTATTTTACACCTGACTTTCTTGAGGAGCAGCTTGAAGTGGCCAATGCTTTTGGTGATCCATCATATTCTTTTTCCAATTTTATTTACTCTTTCTCTTGTCAATTTCCTCAATTCAAATTTTAAAGCAATATCTCTTGCCATGACTGTTAGAATGGTGTTTTGGAAGTACTGGTGAGTCTGAGTTCTAAGACTTTCTGCATTGAATAGCTGAGCCCTATGCTCTCTTCTATGAATATTTATTTTCATTTTCCTCCTCTTTGCATTGAATATCTTGTCCTTCATGTTATTTGACCAATTGGATTCTCTTGTCTTTGCTCAAACTTGTTTTTATATTTCTTTCAAATATAGTAGGAATCTTTCTTCTATCTTTACTTGTATAATTATTCATATCGACAATAAAATCTGGAAAGCCTTTTGCTCTGTATTCATTATAAGACTTCTGATTTTCATTATCAAGACGACTTCTGTTTGAATTCGATTCATTGATAAATTCACTTCCACTTCGCTTAGCAAAGCTACTTTGACATCTGATTGTATTTCCAATAGTCCCCATTTGCAAGTTGAAAGATTGGGACTGTGATAAGCTTAAGTTCTTTTTAGCTTCCTTTATTTCTAGTGGTATTTTTCGATAACTTCTGCTCTTTTGTTTGAAAGCCAAGTCAGCTCTTTGTTAGATAACCCATTTTCTAACTCTTTGAAAATAGAGTCATCATTTAGGTAATCAATATTAATAGGCCCTTTATTTGAATATTCAATTATACACAGATTTCACTGCTTTAGATTTGTCAATGTAAATAGTCTCCTTTACTATTTTACGTCTTTTTGGTTTTATAGGTTCATTTATGGGTGACAACGACTTTTTACTTGTTAGATCGCTGCTCTCTGCTTTTCTTATACTCAAGGATCTATTCTCTAAGGAAATTTTAGATCTATTATTTTGGAAATACCTTTGATCTTTTTAGGCCTTTTAAAGCTTTGATTTCCAGTCTTAAGCCTTACAGAGCTTTCTCTAGCTATGGCTAGTCTTTTCTTTCTCTTCGAAGCTTTTGAGGCGATATTGTTTCTTTTTGTAGTTTTTGAGGTCCTTGGAAAGAATTCAAAATTTACCCAACTATAATAAGCAAAAAGTATACTTTTGTATTTTCATATTTGGAGATTTGGCAAATGAGCCCTTAATTGTTTTAGCCATTTGCAAGAGTTTAGAAGCTTTTGTCTCAGTATATTTTACATCAACTGAATTTCTTTTAAATGTAAAAGTGGGACAAACTTGATCTTCATATTGATATTCAAAATTCTTTTCTTTACTTAAGCTTTTATTATTTTATATCAGGCAAGGATGCTAATATTTCACTAAATTTATAATGCTGGCCTATTCATAAACAAAATTCTTCACCTTTATATTGCCTTTTCTTTCTAATCCTTCTTAGTTCTTTCCTTAGTTTCTCAAAATATTCTTTAGTCTTTGTAGGCATGTTCTTTCAATTATTTTATATATGTTTGGGGTTTTGGGGTTTTGGGGTTTTGGGG